ACACACACACACACACACACACACACACACACACACACACACACACACACACACACACACACACACACACAATGTTGGACTAAAAGGCAGATATTTGTTTGTGGCTTTTGGAGAAAATATTAAATACACTCAGCTGGTGAGTGTATGGGGGTCAAAACTAGGGTTGGGCATAATCGTATCGTGTGTGATTAATCATCAGAAAAACATTAATCGATTAATTTTTGGCACTTGACGATTAATACGATTAATGCCAACAGGTAGAGTCCGCTCACTGCTCCTCTCTGCTTCATATATAACGAACATTAAAAAAAACTTCTGTAATTTATTTATCAACACAATTTAAAATTTGATGTACAGCCTGAAGTCTGTAATTTTGACACAATTTGGAACAGATTTTTACAAAGAGCAAATCTTTCCCACTAAATTGGTCATGTGACTATGAAATAAGGGACTCCAGGGGATTAATCGTCAAATTAATCGTTGGCTAAATACCACAAGTTATCGTGATTTTTTTTTTTGCCACTATTGCCCAACCCTAGTCAAAACAGTAACTTGCATAACATGTTATAACAAGGCATGGGTACAAGTTCAACGGTAGGAATGACTGTGCTGTAGCACAGTCTCTTTCAAAGTGGGGGCCACGGCCCCCTGGGGGGTCGCCAGGGAGCATTATGGTGTCCTCACAAAGCTGGAGGGGATGATAAGGGGAAAAAAGGCAAAAACTTAAAATTTTAATGGAATGAATATGTTAAATTATAACAATAAAATTGAATCCGTTTTTCAATCATTATTTGAAAATATAATTTATGAGAAATATATTGAAATGTCATTTAGGAGAGCAGTTTGATTCTTTTGTTCTGTTCTTATTGTCAACAACTGGTTATTCAGTGGGAAAATAATTAGCATTTAATATATTTTAGTTAATGCAATCTTAATGCTAAACTAATATAGAATAGAAGAACAGAAAAAAGCCTTCATCGCCCCGCTGAGGGGAAATTCAGGTGTCACAGCATCAGTACAGAGTTTCACACACTAGTTATTTTACAAACTATAGATAGCACACACAAAACAAAATTAACACTGACTAGCCATGACTACTAAAAATAAAAAATATATCAAAAATTGTGCAATAATTCTATTAAAAAAATATATGTTTTATAAAATATTTATAAAAAGTGATTTAATAACATTGATTTAATAACATCTAACTAATTTCATTGTGCTCTCTGTACGATGACAATAAAGGTCTCTCTAATACATTTTAGTTTGTAGCATTGTTTGCTTCTAGTAGGGGGTCCCCTGCCAGAAGCTAATGCTGCTCGGGGGGCTTAGGCATGGAAAAAGTTTGTGAACCCCTGATGTAGCACACATCATTTGTGAGTTCTTTCAGATCTAAAACATCTAATGGTTTTAAACTGGGAGGGGAAAAAACTATAACTTGTCATGTGTGTCTCTTGAATGGGTGTTCTTCAATGTAATTTCATTATGCTCTGTACAGCATCATCAAATCAATCAATCAATCAATCAATCAATCAATCAATCAATCAATCAATCAATCAATCAAAATAAACCAAACCTTTGACAGTTAGCGTTGCTCTGTCTATGTGTTATGCTAGCAGCAACAATTGTTGCAGTGTTTACATTCACTCTTCTTACGATCAAAAGATGCATGCAGGTATAAAATCTCAATATAACTCAGCAAAAGATTCTTTAAAGAATATATGTACAAAATATTTGAATTACGTGTTTATTAAGATATTTTATTCACTCCCTTTTGTTCCAGTTTGAGGTAGATATTTCCTTTAAAAGTGTTGCAAGTCATCCTGAAGCATTTAGAAGAGCAGACTGCTCACGTTGATTCATGCAGGTTATAAAGCGTTTTTCATGCTTTAAATGTACTATTTAGGTTATTGTACTTATTCATCAAAGCAAAACATAATTTCAAATTATTTGTCTCACTTTATAGAGGAATTGTGTTTAATATATTTATTGGTTTCCATTAAAATAGGTCATGGGGTCTTCAACTTGTGGTTCTGGGCCACATGCAGTTCTTTAAGTCAATCTGCAGTCACTGTGTAAACAGGACCCAAAAAATAACATAACCATATTACAATAGGTTCAGGCAGTATTTGTATCCACATTTAAAGTAAATCTGTGAATGAAATTTATGTGACAGAATGATTCAAACATCCAGCTTCAGTCAGATATTTAGTTATTCATAAATATATATAACTTTAATTATCCCTAGCTGCGGAAATTCACATATAAGAGCAGCATAATGCAAACAAAAAAGTAAATAAAGGAATCCAGACATTTTTATGGCTTAAGTTAAATTAATTTTGTTTTTAAATGAATATAAACATGCAAATTTAATCCTAACAGATTTAAACCCGCTTTTCAGTTGTATTAGACTACTAGTCTGATGAGATGTAATGTGTTTAAATAACGCAATGTGTTTAAATAACGTAACACTAATAATTTATTGTGTTAATTCTTTCTTCAGTCATGATGTTTGTAGTTAAACTGGTTAGCCGAAGCAGAAAAGTAGCTTACCGGAAGTGACCGCTCTTCACCAATAAAGTGTAGGTCTTATTAGGTAGAGAGATTCTGTTAAATTATTTWAAAAAGCTGAAAATAATCTCTTTTCATGCGTCCTTCAGAGGTCCACTCTCCTCTGGTTACTGCCACAGCCGGGTGCCCTCTGACCCCGCAGCAGCGGCGCCACCAGCAGCGCCCCCTGCTGCAGGGAGGACTTCTTCCTGTGAAATTAAACCTTTAATATTTTTTAACTAAAGCGTTTTTTGATGAATTTTAAAATGTATTTAATAAAAAATATGTACTTATTTTTCTTAAAAACCTTTAAAACACATTGTTGTGTAATAACAGCCAAAGCAGAGAGGAATGAATGTGTCCATATTAAAATGACACAATGTGATGGCCCACAGGATCTGGTCTCACTTTTTACCCCCTAAACCTCAGATGCTGAAGTCAAACTTCACTTCCTGTTGTCTGTAAAGACTAATGAGGCAAATATTAAGAAAAT